TATATATATATATATATATATATATATATATATATATATATATATATATATATATATTCGCATATATGACATGATTACATGTACATATAGTAAGTGATATAGAGTTAGTTAAAACACCAATTATATTAATACAATATTTGTTCACATTCCATCAAATTTTCTTCAATCTAACAAAAATGTTATAAATTATTCATTAAAAAAGAATAAGGAGAAATATTGTTTATTGAGTCTTTCAATTTACAGCTTACAAATTTTATTTAATATTTAAATATAATTTTTATTAAAAACCAATATATGAACTAAAAATGTTGTTACAACATATTTAACATTTTATTTTCTTATTAGCTGATTATTGAAAAATTTTTTATTTAAATCTAATTTTTATAGAAAACTAATAAATGAACTAAAAATGTTATTACAACATATTTAATATTTCATTTTCCTATTAGCTGATTATTGAAAAATTTCACTCAAATAAAATACAATTAAAATAAATTAACAACCACATATTAAATCTTGATTCTGCGATATACTTTTCATTTCTTTAAATATCAATCAACTGGATTTTGTATTACAATTAATATAAACTCCTTATCAGGTGCAACCATAATTTCATGTTTTTTGCTGCGTATGCGTAAAAAAGTTAGATCATTAGTTGGATCCAAATCTCGCACAACAGAACGGGCTTTGTCAGACAATTGACTGATTAAACCTGCATATTGAACTGTTGTTGTGTTGTCTAAAGTTGATTTAATCGGAATTCCTGAAACATATATAAGCTAATGAAAAATTTGCTGTATAATCATATAACATACGTTCTTAATTATATCCTATCTGACACCTTCTGCGTTCACCACTATCGTCCCAACCACTCCCTTATGAGACTGAATTCGTTTCATAGTTTCTTCAACTTCTTGTGCCTACGTAAAATATCTCTCATAAAAGATTAGAAAGATCAAAAATTACGAAAATTAAGGAATTATATACATACCATTTCTTTAAAGACCTTTAAGATTTTTAAAAACTATTAGTGATAAAGATTACAAGCCAGGAAATTGTCAAACCGCACTTTGGACTACAGATTCATTCACTATGGGTTTTCTTGTTTGACTTGTATACGTTTCTCTTGAAATATTACACTACTTTCCTGTTGCACTATTATGTATTACGAGTCATTCTATGTTATCTATATTCAACACCGATCACAAATGGATGCAATAAGGTTCGTCTACAATGGCCTGGTTTACATCATACACTTGATACACGTACTAAATAGTAATTTTCTATTAGATAATCTTAATATCGACAATGCATATCAAAGGCGACGCATTCAATCAATACAATATGTTTTGTTGATGCGTATTATATCAGCTTAATATACCATTGTTTATATATATCGTCGATATTAAGATTACCTAATAGAAAGTTACTAGGTTTGTTCTTTCGACTTTAACTGGCTGCACTAGTTCACGAAGTTTGCACTAATGCGTTCTTTCGATCAGAACAGTGCAAGAAAATGTGTTCTTTCGAACAGTGCAGGCTGAACTAGTGCAGCGAGTTCAGTGAACTGGTGATTTTGATGTCAATGATAAAGAACGCTCAGGCCAACCGAAAAAGTTTGAAGACACCGATTTGCAGGCATTATTGGACGAAAACTCTACTCAAACGCTCCAAGAATTGTCTGCAGCATTAAATGTTACTCCGATGGCTGTTTCCAAACGTCTACATGCAATGGGAAAAATTCAAAAGGAGGGAAAATGGGTACCACACGAATTAACCGCAAATGCCATTGCGAATCGCTTAAACATCTCTATTTCTCTGCTCGCCAGGCAGAAAAAGAAGAGTTTTTTGTGGCGCATAGTGACTGGCGATGAAAAATGGATATACTTCGATAATCCTAAACGAAGAAAATCATGGGTAGACCCTGGCCAACCATCGACATCCACACCAAAGAGAAATATTCATGGCCACAAAGCAATGCTTTGCATTTGGTGGGATATGCACGGCGTCGTTTATTATGAGCTACTCAGACCGAACGAAAGTATCACGGGGGATCGATATCAATTACAATTAAGCCGTCTGAATGAAGCATTGTTGGAAAAAAGGCCAGCAGTAGCCAGCAATCGACGTAAAGGAGTGCTTTTGCACGACAACGCTCAACCACACGTTGCCAAAGCCGTCAAAGAAACACTGATGCAGCTCGAGTGGGAAGTTCTCCCGCACCCAGCGTATTCACCAGACTTAGCTCCTTCGGACTATTACTTGTTCCGGTCGATGCAGCACGGCTTGGTGGATACACACTTCAGAAATTACGAGGATGTGCGAAAATGGATCGACGAATGGATTG